TTCTGTCAGGAGCTAGAACACAAAACCTCAGACTGCTGGTCAGCCGACAGTGAGAGTGTTTGTCCTTGAGCATGGCCTGCCCTGAAGAGTTGTTGTCATGTTACCTCTTTGTGAGCCTGTGACTGGTGCAGAGGTGTGACCCTTAAGACTTTGGCCTTACTCACGATGTTTCTTTCTCAGATTTATCCACGTTAACAGGCTGAAGTTTATTTATTTAATAGTAATTTTACATTTTATGATTTTTTTGTTTTTGTTTCACCAAACACTCCGGTGTTTAATATCTTATTTTCATACAATAATCAGCCAAGTTGTAAAAAACCTATTTATATTTATAGGACTGTGTAAAAGATGGAGGACATGTCAGAAGGCTGGTTTGATGAACAACATGATTGCCAGCTCTGTTGACGATAGAGGCTCCTGTGGCTCTGTATGCATCGGATAACGATACGATGCACTTTATTGTCCCCTTGGGAAATTTGTCTTTGGACCCAAAGTGCGGCCAAACATTCAGCTTCTTCCACTCGAATCAGTAGATAAAAACAATAGAAAAACACAATCCACACACCAACAATAAGGCACATACCAATACAGAACAACACAACATATATCTGCAAAAACACAGCATGAGAGATAAAATAACAAAGGTAAGAAAATGTAAAAAGCATACAGGACACCATGTTTGTGGTATTGCAAAACCCCACCTTGTGAAACATTATTCAGAATTTGATCAAAGTAGAGGAGTGACAGAAACGTAACCAAAGACTGCTACACTTTTGTAGCTGTGAGTTTCTGCTGTGGATTGTACCCGCCTGAGAATCTTTGACATTTTAGTTAAACATGTTTTTTTGTGGTTAGAGGAAGTAGTGGGACGCCGACAAAGCTACAGTGTCTGTGGCTCCAAATGAGCGCTGCAATATGTAACATTAAAGCTGCACTATGGAGTTTTGGTGGTGAAATTTGAAAGTTAGAGAAGTGAAACAATTCGATGCTATATTTTCTGAAGTGGATACACAAACTTTGCTCAAAGAAAATATGGGTCCCTGAAACACTGTTTGGAGCTAAAAAGCAACCCGGTGAGTTACGGATTCACTGTAGCGGCCCCCACCACAACTTTTCCTGTAGCATTTTATCTTCAAACAGTATCTAGTTAGTTAGTTTGTGTGTAGAGTTATGAACATGTACCACAGAATCTGTAAATGTCTCCAACTTTCACATTTCTCTACCAAAACTACAAAGTGCATCTTTAAAAATGCATATCACGGTGTATTCAAGCTTCACTTTTGTGCCACAGAAGGAGGTAGGACACATCCATTTTTATACACAGGCAATTTTTTTATGTGGACTGAAAACATGAACGCAATAAACAAGCATATTAAGGTTACGTGTTAAACACAACTAGAGGGAAAAACAGACTCAAAAACAAAACACACACATGATAAAGGTGTTTAGAAGTCCAGACATTTACTCGGCGGCTGTGGCTCAGTTGGTAGAGTCGGTCGTCTCTCAACTGGAAGGTCGGGGGTTTGATCCCCAGCTCCTGCAGCAACATGTCCGATGTGTCCTTGGGTAAGACTCTTAACCCCAGCTCTTACCATCACTGTGTGAATGTGTCGGTGTGACCTGCGTGTAAAAGAACTTTGAGTAGTCAGAAGAAAAGAACGATACAAGCTGAAGTCCATTTACTGAGATTATGCTCTTGAGAACCATTTTGTAATAACTATCATCATCGTTCTCGTACGCTCGAGTCGTTCTCTGTTCCTAAAGTGCGTCTTGAAATGGGGAAACAAAGCCGTTTCAGGTTCTGCTCTTCCTGCAGCTTGAATCTCCTGCAGCAGGATTTGGGGATAGGTCTCTTAAAGGGACATATTGTGAAAAATCCACTTTGACAGTGTTGTTGAACATACATTTGGGTGACCTGAGTGTCACAGGTAACTGTTTTAAAAGGTAGAAAATGGTATAATGTGTCCTCTTTACAATCATTTTCTAATGAGATGACGATGTGTGAGGATGTGCTTCGGGTTTGTAGAGGCTGTTTCTACTAACATTCTGCTCATAACCAACGATGTGTCGACCTGTGTTGTGTAACTGTGTTAAAGTGTGTTACTGCCTGTGTTGTTGCTCTTGTGAAAGAGATTCTTCATCTCAGTGAGGTTTTTCAAAAACTCACTTTGAGATTTATTTTAGTATTTTTCAGCCAGTCTGTACTCCGAGGGAATTGTTTTTTTTAAACTTCAATTTATTTGTTTTCCGCCTACTCAGCGCTCAGTTTCCTTCAGTGTTAATGACTCCTGACTGTTTTTCCTCCTGCAGACTCCCAGCAGACAGAAACCTCTCCTCCTATCAGCTGACCGTCCCTCGACCAATCGGAGGCAGGCTGAGGCGGGACGTGGACGGACGACTCCCCAATCAGTACCGAGGGTCCACGATGCTGTAACATTTAAGTGTAGTTTTCTTTGTGTGATCTCTGACCTTCAGGAAAACACACACTCAGCAGGTCCACCTCCTGGTTGTGTGTGTGTTTGTGTGTGTGTGTGTGTGTGTGTGTGGTGTGTGTGTGTGTGTGTGTGTGTGTGTGGTGTGTGTGGGTGTGTGTGTGTGTTGTGGGTGTGTGTGTGTGGTGTGTGTGTGTGTGTGTGCCTCGCTGAGTGTGCAGTATGTTATCTCTCTCACTAAAACAAAAACACATCACACACTTTTAAAACTTGAAATAACATCTGAGGAGTTTCAGGAAGTTTTTAAGAAGAGTAAACCTGAACATGATGAGGGAGAGAGAACCAACATGGACGCCTCCAAAAGAACCTTGGTTTGTTAGCTTTTAACAGGCGATAACAACACACTGCGTGATAGTTCGCACGGGAAAATAACACAACAACACGTCCTCAGATCGAGCTTACGCGATACATCGGTGTATTGATTAATTCACAAAAAGAGGACGTAGCTGCTAATAAACTCAAAAGTTACAGGGGGCGACCACCCGGCGTCCCTGACGCTCAGCCACTAGTATCGGTCTGTGTCGTCCTCACAACCACCGCCGTCCTCACTCATACACGGCCAGCTCCGACCTCGCGAGGAAGTTTGGACAACAGGAACAGAGAACACAAAGGAGAAATCCTTCCTGCATATTATCCCATATGCTCTTTTGTAAAGCGTCTTGAGGTAACACTTGTTATGAAGTGGCGCTTTACAAGTCATGATTGATTGGTTGATGCACACAGCAGCCATGTTGGATTTTAACCTGGGCCTCTAAAGGTTTTCTGAGTTTGTGTGGTGGAATTCACACTTCAGGAGGGCGTTCCTGATGATATATCAGACCGGCGAACTGGAATTTCCGAAAGGAGCACAGCATAAAGCCTTGCTGAAACACTGTGTTTTTTTAGTAGTCCATATGAGGATCACTGTAGGAGTGCAATGAGAAGTGTTATGACATGTCTCAGTTTACGTTCAGTTAGTCTGTAAGAGCAGCTGCAGCATGTTCTGAAATAATTTAGATGGAACGAGTATGGAATTAAAAATAATTTGAAATGGGTTGGTGCACAGCAGAAAGTGTCCCCAGTAGAACCTGAGCAGCAGATTGAAGGTTCCACAGAAGAAGAAAAACAAACTGGATTTTACTAGTTTTAGACCTCTAGATTTTACCTCGGTCACGGATGACGAGCAGTTCACTGAAATCACACTTTCAGTTTGAAATGAGTCAGAGAGTAAGGTGGACCTGAAACTCCTCTATGTTACTGTTTCATACGAAGACTGTTAATGTCGCAGGACCACCTTAAAACACACACACACACACACACACACACACACACACACACACACACACACACAGCAGAATAAATCTTCCTCTAACAACATGTCTCTGCTCAGTGTGTGTGTGTGTGTGTGTGTGTGTGTGTGTGTGTGTGTGTGTGTGTGTGTGTGTGTGTGTGTGTGTGTGTGTGTGTGTGTGTGTGTGTGTGTGTGTGTGTGTGTGTGTGTGTGTGTGTGTGTGTGTGTGTGTGTGTGTGTGTGTGTGTGTGTGTGTTTCCATCGCTGTCATTTTCTTTTCCACCCTGCATGCTGGAACAAGTCCAGTACCACACACACTCATATTCACACTTACACTACGTAGAAATGTGAGCATGCTCAGGAGGAGTGACATTGTGTGAAAGAATGATATTAGGCTGTGTGCATTTTCTTTGAGTGTGTGTGTGTGTGTGTGTGTGTGTGTGTGTGTCAGCCTGCAGCCATGTTTTTCTCTCCCCTCTGTCAGACGTGTTTTAATCTCTGCAGGCAACAAACAACATCAGAAGTCTTTACAATCACTCCACGTCTTATCAGCGTCACGTCACTCTACCCTCGTTATTTAATCATTTTATGCGTTCAGTTTAAAACACTTGATTGTCGGAGATTTAAGAACATTTTCAAACTACAAATGTGTTGAGCAATCCTCTCTGAGAGTTCAGATGTTCAGATCGATTACATCGTCACGTCTCTACACACTAAACAGCCAGCTAGCTTCTGACTATAAGTTAACACTTTCATTTATTTAAAGGTGACATATTCTCCTCATTTTCATCCAGTGTAAATAAGTCTCAGAGCTCCACAAAACATGTGTGTGAAGTTTCTTGTTCTAAATCCACTCTGATCCTGTATTTGATCATGTCTATAAACCCCTCTATTTCAGCCCTGCTCAGAACAGGCTGTTTCTGTGTCTGTACCTTTAAATGTAAATGAGCGGTGTCTGACCACGCCCCCTCTCTGGAAGGGCTCGGGTGTACTCGGGCTTTCTCGCTCCATGTCCTATTGTTTACTGTGAGAAGGCAGACTCAGAGACAAACACCTAGCTGTGGGAGTGTCACCCACCTGGGGGAGGGGCTACTGCCCTTTGTGATGTCATGAAGGGAAAATCTCCAAACGGCCTGTTTGAGCACACATTTTCTGAAAAGTGGAGCAGGCAGAAGATGGAGAGGATGGACTTTTCTCATCATTGGGGGGTTTTAGACGGACTAGAGACACATGTTAGTGTGAGAGAAACATGGTGAAATGTGTTTTTCATAATATGTGACCTTTAAGTCTTTTTGAAGGTATCTGTGAGATGCCATCTTTAATATAAATAGACGTACAAGTGACCCAACTCAGATGAAATTCATTATTTTCTAATCCTCATCAATCCCAGCTGTGATGGGTTTTCTGCAAATGAACACAGGCACAAAGGTTGCAAAGTGTGCAGCTGCTCATTTCCACATCCTGACGAGTGACTTGCAGTAACAAGTCGTCTCTCTGAGATTATTTACACCCCGTGTTTGCAAATTAAAAATGATAATAAACAGAAATGAAGAGAGCGAGTCTCTGCGTGCTATGTGTGAACAACAAACACCCACCAACAGATCCTTTTAGGAGATTTATCAGCTCATTAAAACACCAAGTGATTCATTTAGAAGCTGCTTTTAAACTATTTTTACATGAAAGACATCAAAGTGAGTTTCTCCTTCTGGTAGAACGGTGTAAAAATGATTGAGTTCATGTATCTTATTACTGCAAAAGTTTGGCGCTGGTTTAATCTCCGTTCTTTTTGTGATGTTCCCTCCTGACCTCACACTGCTGATTATAAACCGTGTACAGTATGATTTACATGATTTCCTCCCAGCTGTGTTGATACGGCACGTTAACTCAGCCCTGTCATGTTATGATGTCAGCACAGTGGTATCTGTAACACGTCACCTCCCACTGATCTGCCTGCAGGACTCGACTCTCTGAACGAGAGGACAGACAGGAAAACCTCATTATTAACATTTATTACAAAGATCGTTAGATTAGATGACACGGCCGGCTCAAAGCCAGTGACCAATGAGTGGAGGAGGCGAGGAGTTAATCTAAAAAAAATAGGTTTACATTTACTCACAACCACATTAATCTACCAACTTAACAAAAGGAATGAGGAGCTTTGGGGAGCAGCCTCCCTCCGTCTCTTTCTCCCGGTCTCCCACAATGAGGAAGTGGGGGGCTCCCAGTCCACGTCGACCAGGCCACACCCACTGGGAACCTGAAACACACAAACAGCAAAACAAGCAACCAGCTTACAGGTCTTTATCGGTACATAAAACCTTAAAAATCTACAATTTAGCAAATCAGATTTGTACGATTTTTTTAAAGATTTATTTTTGGGCTTTTTGGGCCTTTATTGGAGAGACAGGACAGATAAAGTTGGAAATCAGGGAGAGAGAGAGTTGGGAATTACATGTGCCACATGCCGGATTCACCACCCGGGCCGCCCGCTTGAAGGACTACAGCCTCCATACATGGGGTGCACGCACTAACCACTGCACCACTGCACCACTGCACCACGAGCGCCCCAGATTTGTACGATTTTGCGCGCTGAAGTTTCTGTCGATCCAGAAATGAACAGTCCAACAGTCTGGTACAGATGTTTAAAACTGGTGCTTCACATGCTTGATAAAGTTTAGGATAAAGTGGTTCCAGGATCTCTGCAGATTCTGCGTGTGTCCTCTTAACCTTTCGTTATAAACCCGTCGTTATTTCGAGGCTCTTTTGGCTCATTCTCAGACAGATGATGGATGTGGAGCCAGTTCACTCTGTGAGTCCAGCTGTGTTTGTTTCATGACTCCAGCTACAAGATGTTGTGAGTCAATGAGAGAGCAGATATGACTTTACAGATCCTGAAAAGAAGAACTAAAACTCTGAAGACTACAGTGAAGATAAAGTGAAAAGTGTTGCAGGCTCCTGCAGCCAAAGTGATGCATAGACAAAGTAAACAAATGTTGTCCTTTTCTTAAACAAGCAGGAGGCGGTGCAGAGCTTTAGCTTATCTCGGAGTTAAGTTTCGGTCGTCACTGTTCATGTTTGCAGCACATACCGGCTCGCACCAGCTCTGTGTGTGTACAAGCGTATCCTAGTTTGAGTCTAACTTATGACGAGGTGGAGCAGTTTCTTACATTCAAGGTGTTCCACCAGCTGAGATAGTTCCAACGTTTAAGTTATCACTTAAATCTTACGCCTAGCTTTGGGGCGCCAAAAAAACTTTTCACATCTCTCCAGTTTGTTTGTTGCTGTGGGAGTTGGATTCAGTCTCACTCGCTCTCTGTTGGAGGACGGAAGAGCCGCTGTTGGCAGCTGGTTGATGTAGTCAACTGCTGACTTCCTGTCCTCATTCACCTCAAACACACACACACACACACACACACACACACACACACACACACACACACACACACACACACACACACACACACACACACACACACACACACACACACACACACACACACACACACACACACACACACCACCTGCCCATGTGTTCACCTACGCAGTAATCACTCACCTGCTGATAGATGCAGCTCTCTCTCTCTTGCACACACACACACACACACACACACACACACACACACACACACACACACACACACACACTCACACAGAGGTGAATGTCTGCCAGGTGAGTCAGAGGCTCGGCTGACCTTGGAGTTTAGTTTTGAAGTTTATTGGACTTTTTCTCTCCTCTTCACTCCTTTGGGACAAAACCTCGTCTTACCTTTTATCAGACTCATGATGTCGCACTTGTTAGACACCGGCCAATCACCTCTCAGACGTCATACGGTCATTACCCTGTTCATGGTTTTGATCCGTGCTCTGTATTTATTGTTTTAAGATTTTATTTTATTTAGAGACAGGACAGTAGATGGAGAAAGAAACTGGGGGGAGACAGAGAGTGGGAAAGGAATCTGTGTGTCTGGAATAATTTCACAAAAGACTTCATTATTCAGAATCTGTTGGACTCTTCAGTGATTTACTGTCGGAGTCTTTAGACTGTTACAACATGAGTTTTTAAATAGTTTAATTAATTACTAACTTTTGTGTCTGTGGCAACAATCGGACAAACACAACAGCAACATAATATTTAGAGCGATCAAAGAGAAGTCATTCACAATATCAATGATCGAGTATTGAAGATTTTAAATCAAAGATCACAAATATATTCCACTCATAATCATGACGGAGAGGCTGTGAAATCCACGGGTGTCAAACCCACACGCTGTGACGAGTGACACCCACTTTTTAAATTCATGCATTTGAACCCCCTCACTGTTACTGCGGTTCAAACTCAGCAGATCTGTCTCTCCACCCGGAGCTATTTTCAGAGCGCCGTGCTGTGCTGTGCCTGGATGTGTGAGCGAGTTCATTTTGCAACTCATAAACGAGAATGAGATTGTAGTTCACTCAGTCTGGAGACAGTGAACAACTGCTCATGGTCCGAGGTACCGAGAGTTACCGAGACCTCGGAGCCAAAGTCTTGTGTTTTTTTTTTTTGTTTTTTTTTGTGTGTTTTTTTTTTGTTTTTAAGATTTATTTTTGGGCTTTTTGTGCCTTTATCGTAGAGATAGGACAGTGTGGATAGAGTTAAAGATCAGAAAGAGAGCGTAGGGAATGACATGCGGGAAGGGAGCCACAGGCCGGATTCAAACCCGGGCCACCCGCTTGGAGGACTACAGCCTCCATACATGGGGCTCGCACAATAACCACTGCGCTACCATGAGCCAAACTTGGACATGTGGCATCCAGCATGGCTCCGTTACGCTTTTCAAAGTCAAAGCCCGATCTGTATTTTTTTCTATGATGAGACCAACTGATGCTTTTGGGTAGTTTCCAAAGTGGGGTCCACCATGAGGGGGGTCACGGGATACCTTCCAAAAACAACAAGTACACATTTTTAATCATTGAAAATTGTAAATTTGACCCATTAGTGGAAAAATAGATACAAATAAGCAGTTCGATTTCAAATAAAACCACATCATTAAGTATTAGCATGTACTAGTATTAGAATGTACGGAGGCTGTAGTCCTCGCCGCAGTGGCCGTGGGTTCGAGTCCAACCCCGTCCCTTTGCTGCAGGTCATCCCCCACTCTCTCTTCTCTCTGCATTTCCTGTCTCTATTTCCAGCCGACCTGTCTAATAAAGCCAAAAAGAGCCCCTAGATAACTAAAGATATGTTACTGCTGTGAAAGATGAAGATGTGTAGATTGAACTTCTGCTTTGTCTCTCTTCAGGTGTCGTACGTCATCAGTGTGGACGGGAGTGATCACGTCGTTCGTCTGGAGAGAAACGAGTAAGTTCTGATGACATCATATCAGATGCTGCTGATTGGCCAATCAGATCCCTCCGTTCATGATGTCAGAGAAGAGGAAACAGTTGATTATCTTTAGTTTTCAAGTGTTCATGGACGTCAAACCGTCTGCTGTTTTATCCGAACAAATCATATTTCTTCTCCTTAAATGACACAACTGGGTCACCAGATTTGAACCCGGGCCGCCTGGAGGACTACAGCCTCCAGGCAGGCGGCCCGGGTTCAAATCCGACCCGTGGCTCCTTTCCTGCATATCATTCCCCACTCTGTCTCTCTCTCGCTGATTTCCGACTATATCCACTATCCTGTTTCGCTCAAAACTAAACTTAAAACAAAACAAAAAGGTTTCAATCGGTCCGTATCGAACCAGCATGTGTCCGTTATTTAATTATAATATTAAAGAGATATTAAAACAGATACAAACACATTAAATGTTGTTGTTGTCTTTGTTTTCAGCCTGCTGCTTCCTGCAGACTTCACTGTGTTCACCTACAGCAAGAACGGATCACTGATCACATCCAGACCACCTGTACAGGTAACACACACACACACACACACACACACACACACACACACACACACACACACACACACACACACACACACACACACACACACACACACACACACACACACACACACACACACACACACGATGCTGTATTCTCGTATGGTCCCAGTTTCCGAGTTGGGAGGTCAGTCTTCTGGCTTCAGTGCGTTCACCTGATTTCAGTTCAGAAAGTCTGACAAACATCGTGGATGCCTTAAAGAAACTTGTGAATGTCTCTGTTACAAGTTATATTTCAGCAAAAAGTCGATGTGCAATACGTGAATTAATCAAAAGTTTTTTTGCGTGAACAAAACCTCATTTGCCTCCCTTCGTTGATGACGATGAGGACCTCAGCTACGGCAAATCGAGCACCTAATTATTTCTAAGTTTCCAAGTTGTTCTTCCAACTTGAGCGGGCGTTCACGTGCATTTTCCAACACAAAACTGTTTTTTCCGATGTGTCCGACACCGCATGAATGCAGCATGAGTCCTGCTTTTTCTCCAGGGAGCCAATCATTGAGCGGATCTGATTAACCAGGAAGTGACAGAACTCCTTCATGTGACCGGTCAGCGAATGAAGCCAAACAGGAAGCAGAGATCAGGAGAGAAAAAGACGAGAGAAAGGAAACAGACTGAGACAGAGAGTAAAAAAACACTCATAGTCCAAATACCACAAGAAACGACGTCACCACAAAGAAAACCAAACAAAGGAATTCAGACGTTTCGACACAGAGTCCCTCTTCTAATAATGCAGAAGCTGTTTCAGAAAATGTTTCATCGGCACAAAACTGTAATATCGATATGACCGACTGACATGCAGTGATTTGGTTGTACAGCTTTGATTATCACATTAAATTTGTTTTCTAATTATTTATTAGGGATGGGAAATGAAGCACTTTTTACATTTGGAGGATTTCAATAAAAGCAGGCTGGGCAAAGTGGACGTTGTGGATTTATATGATCAGGAAACTTGTGAATATTCTCACTAAGAAGGTGTCCTGCTCGCCTTCCTACTCAGAGCTTTATTTATCTTTTTCTTCTTTATGGGGGGGGGGGGGGGCCTTATAACGTTTGATTACATGATTATTCTCACTTAAGACCATCGGAGAGCGTCTTTAGCTCAATGGGTTAATTACCTGATTAAATAAAGGCTCAATAAAAACAAAAAAAATGGATAGCACATCGGTAAGATCGCACGCCCCATGTACAGAGGCTATAGTCCTCGTCACAGGGACCGTGGGTACAAATCAAACCTCTGCCCTTTACTGTGTCATCGTCTCTCTCTCTCTCTCTCTCTCTCTCTCTCTCTCTCTCTCTCAGCGTTTCCTGTCTCTCTATTATAAAGGCCCAAAAAATAAACTCCCCATTCACCTCATATCAGAGATCAGTTTAAAGTTGTGTTGTTTCAAATGTTTCCACTTAGTTTCAGAACAACAGGATGTGATCTCAGTCTCCTCATTTAAATGCAGCAGTGAGTACCGTTAATATTAAGATAAGTCACTTTAGAAAATCCAACTGTCAGACACTAGTACACTAAATATGTAAAGATTTGAATGATGCTCTTTAAACCTGCACAATACGAGAAAATATGAGTTTATTATTTAATATGTGAAGGGGGGGGTGAATGATACAATTTTAAAAGGTGTTTTGTAGCTATAACTCAGGTTTTTGGTCTGCTGTTCTTCATGTTTCACTCCTGTGTTTGCAACATGTTTCTTCTGAATACATATTCATTTAAAAAACAGGTTTTCTTTTCATTATATCAATTAATCAAAGAGCAGCTGACTGTTAGCTTCATCTTCTTCTTCTCTCTCTCTCTCTCGCTCTCTCGCTCTCTCCTGTCGTTTTGACTCTATCCTCTGTCCCGTTTCTAAATAAAGGCATAAAGATAAACTCAGTCCCAAAAATAAACTTTAAAAAGCCTGGTCAGCCTCCATCCGATGGGTAAAACGTGCACATGCTGATTGAGACAGATGGCTCGTTCACAGAAAATAATTGCTCTCATCTTAAGGGATAAATTAAGACTTCTGTGCTCATGCTCATGCGGCGATAAATTGTGCAGCCCTAATGTACAATGAAGACATGGAGACAGGAACATTTCAAACTTCTGTCTGTTCCCATCATTAAAACATGACATACTGATCACTTAGTGCTGCAATTAAATCTGAAATATCTTTGATTTATGGCTCAGTCTCCTAAAGGCTGCAATGTTTTTTTTTCTTTTTAAGTACCAAACATAAAATGCAAACTAGTGACATCCAAGACAAAGAATCAAAGTCTGTACACAGTGAGACAGAGGTCAGGGTCGATGTAATAAGCAGGACCTTAGTACAGTTGTTGCTCTTTTTTTGCTCTGCGTCTGTCTGCCATTTGTCTTGGATGTGTGCACACTGGTGTTTTGTCTCTTTTTGGGTCTTTGTAGTGAAGCATATTTTGCAGATGAAATAGTAGTAATTAACCGGTCAGTGTGTCGGTGTAGCTTCTCTGCAGCTGCTGTGTTTATTTAAAGAAGAAAAGCATGCTGGGAGATTTCTCTGTGTGTGAAGTGAGTGCATTGATATTTCCTGTCTGCTGACCTCCTGCACTCTTTACCCCGAGGTTTTCTCTTCTCTCCCCTCTCAGTCCGTCTCCTCAGATCTCATGTTTGATCAAACTTTAATGATTGACAGCAGCTCCTCTCTGTCTCTATTTAAAATAGGATCTTGTGTTGGATTAAAACCTTTTTTATCTGAGACGTAATTCCACCATGTTTTCCTCTCTGTGCCTCTGAAAGTTACAGTCACTTTTGGTTTTACTACTGAATAAATGAATATAAATGTAGAAGAAGAGAGTGTAACCTGCCTGTGTGAAGCTGAAGTCTGCCCCCTGCTGGTGTCTCTGTGACACTGCACTTTGAAAGAGAACATCAGGGTACTAAAACATGTGTCTCTGTGTGCTCTTGTGTTGTAGAATCACTGTCACTATCAGGGCTTCGTTCAGGACATGGAGGGTTCCTCTGTCGCTATGAGCGTCTGCAACGGCCTCAGGTAACCACACACACACACACACACACACACACACACACACACACACACACACACACACACACACACACACACACACACACACACACACACACACACACACTCACACTCACACACCTGTGTCCAACACTGATATGCCATAAGAGGATGCAGGACAGTGACAGAGACACTAGATGGTTAAAAACAAAACAAAGCTGTAAAGAAAAAGTAATCTTTAAGAGCAGAGAATACGAAATATCAACAGTGACAACGAAGGAAACCAAATACTCTCAGAAACCTGAACCTTTACCTGAAAAACTACTACACACTGTAACCCCCCGGGTACACACGTTATACACACTGTACACTCCCCTCTGCGTCCTTATTCTCAAGGACAAGTGTCCTTTTTATATTCTACTCACAGATGGCTCTGTGTGTTGTTGTTGTTCTGTGTGTGTGTGTGTGTGTGTGTGTGTGTGTGTGTGTGTGTGTGTGGCCCTGTTGTGTGATATCTCTGTAATTACTTTGATAAAGCACACACACTCAGGCCTAATTAAACCCTCGACTTTATGTGTTGTTTAATCAACACTCTGCAGCAAAAAAAATCAGACCTCAACCTTCTGACTGTATGGATAAGAGACTGTAAAGAGAGGAAAGTATTTATTTCATTTATCATGTCATATATATATATATATCTTATATCATGTAGTAAACCTTAAAGGTCAGCAGCTGATTCCCTTTGAGTGTCAGACCTGAAGGTCAGATCATGTGACCTTGAACAGTAAATATGGAACGTCACATTCATATTCATGATGTTGCATCGCTCTTTTTTCAGAGGAGTGTTGCACCTCGCTGACGACAGTTACGGTATCGAGCCGTTAGACTCCGCCCCCGAGCAGCACCTGGTGTACCGCCTACAGGATGTGACATCACAACCCCGTGGATGTGGAACGCCACATGAGGATGAGCACGAACACAACAACAGCACCGAGCACGCTCAGTACAAACAAGAGGACATCCACCACAGACAGCACAGCAGGGTGCGTATACACACACACACACCATCTTGTTAATATGGTCATTTCATTAATGAATATTATGATTAAGTTACCTGTTTTGTTTTTTTGTTCCAGATGAAGCGAGCTATTCTTCATCAGACTCATTATGTGGAGCTGCTGCTGGTTGTCGACAATGACAGGGTAAACACACACACACACACACACACACACACACACACACACACACACACACACACACACACACACACACACACACACACACACACACACACACACACACACACACACACACACACAGAAGTTCCAAGTCCGACTTCAGGGCGTCGTTCTTTTTTTTTAAGATTTATTTTTGGGCTTGCTTTAATGGAGAGATAGGACAGTGGATAGAGCTGGAAATCAGA